AGCAAGGCATTAGTAGCAAGACATGCAAGACATTTGCTCTGAGCTTCCAGGCAGCTCTGAGCTACCATAGCAAGCTTACAAGTGCCTGCAAAATACTATGTGAAATACACCCTGCATTAGCAAGTGAAGTGTGCCAACAAATCTGAGACCAAGCTTTTTTTTTTTTTTTTAAATTGCCTATTGGAGGGCAGTAGTTCCTCATATGCTTTAGACAGCAATGTAGCTGAAAGAAGCACTCCCACTTCCCCCCCTCCGCATAGCACTCGTGCTCTCTCACATCCCACCCATGCACCTCCTTCTCCCTTGTTCAGTGAACACAGGTGTGTTGCACAGATGTGCAGTGAACAGACCTAGAGGAATGAGACAAAATAAAACTAAGCTGGCAAAAAATAAACAAAACATTATTCCTTTTAGTGCGGATCAGTTTCCCAATTAAGTTCACACTTCTGCCTGCATAAGAGAAGGGTTGGTAAAGGTGTGGGAATGAATGGCTGACTTACAAGAATGACAGCTGCTTCCTTCAGCAGCAATGTGGGCTTATGCAGGGCTAAAGCATACATGAAACTACAGCCTGAAGCACTTAATGTAAGACATTCCAATAAGCTAACATAGAAAAGGCCGAGAAATTTAACAAGTACTGCATCCACATAAAAAAGAAGCATAAAAGTTTTTGAGTTAAATGCAAAAAAAAAGAAAAAATTAAAACCATAGAATTTGTAAGAGAGGGTGGAAAGTCCACCTCAGTGTATTGAGGGTGAAACAGATTTTTTCATAAGAGACCGAGTTCTGGAACAAAGGCCAAAACAGGACTTCCACATGCAGTCACTGACAGAGGAATTAGGATTTGCCAGGAATAAATCCTCCAGCGCAGAAATGTAACTCAGAAGCAGCAAGCCTTACTCTGCCACCCTGGATACTACTGAGAACTCTAAACACTGAGAATTCAAATAAAATGAAAAGATACAAAAAGTAGGAACACATGTAGAGCTCATGATGGAGTCCCACCAAAATATACTGATTTGCACGTCCCACTGCAAGCCCACAAGCCAAACAATGTCTCTCAAATGAAGAGAGGGCACTACGGACAGGAGCATAAGCAATGCAGCATGTAGGTGCAGCATGCAAGAGCCGGTCAGCTCTTGCAGTGTGTGTGCTGCACCCCAAATGATAAGCAGTAGCATCCCACCCACAGTGAAATCTTCCAAGAAACAATGGACAATGTCACAGCAGAAAATCCTTTAATTATGAATTTGCATTCAAATAAAATACCTATTTATCCAGAGTGGGACACAGCGTGCAGTAAGATCATGTTATTTTTTCAACAGTCTGTTTATAACTTGCAAAATAAATAAAACATGGAGGAGATTTTGATGGCTGCAAACATGTATTTGGCAAAAAGTCATGAAAAGCAATGCAAAATTAGATTTTGTATACGTCAATCTAAGAAAAGAAAGAAGAAAAAAAAAAGAAAAAGACTCAACTACTTTGTCTCAGCTAAAACATGGATTACCATAACTATTCATGAGGATGAGACCCTCTGGAAAGCAATTAAATATTTCCATTTCACAAAAATGCCAACCTCTTCACACAAAACCACGATGTTCCCAGGCCTGTTTTCAGTTTAAGGGTAGAGGGAATGTTCTCAATACCTCCTAAAATTTTTATCTCTAGATACTACAAAAAAGTATCTTCAAAGGGCTACACAAAATGTCATTTAGGAATTCAAAACAAAAACCTGAGAGAAGGGTCAGAAATGTATTAAGCTAGCCTCAAATGAAAAGTGACACCAAAGAAGTTGCCAAAGCTTGTCCCATTTGTCAAAAATACAGACGAACTCAAGGAAAAAAGTCTAAATCATGATACCGGCAAACTTTAATCCCTGAAGCAAATCTGTTCTATTTTGTTTAATTAAGTTGGCAAGAAAAATCTTATGCAATAATGTCATGGTTTAAGCCCAGCTGGCAACAAAGCACCACGAAGCCACTCGCTCGCTCCTCCCCACAGTGGGACGGGGAGGGGAAAACACAAAGAAACGGTCGTGGCTCGAGACGAGGGCAGGCAGGGACCACTCCCCGCTGAGGGTCACGGGCAGAAGACAGGCTCAACTTGGGGGAGAAACACGATCCGTTCACCTTACTACCAGTCAGATCAAAACAAGGCTACTGAGAAGTAAAACCAAACCTGAGGACACCTTCCCCCCACCCCTCCCTCCTTCCCGCCTCAACCGCACTCCCGCTTCTCTCTACCTCCTCCCGCCGGCGGCGCAGGGCAACGGCGGTTGACAGTCTGACAGGCGGCTCGCCAGCCCTTGTCTCTGCCGCTCCTTCCTCCTCCTCCTCGCTCTTCCCCTGCTCCAGCGTGGGGTTCTTCCCACAGGACACAGTTCTCCATCAGCTTCTGCGGCACAGAAGAGTCCTTTCCGCGGGCCGCAGTTCCTCACAAACTTCCCTGGCGGGGGTCCTTGCCGCCGACCCATCTTCAGTCCCAGGCTACGCTGGCAGGGGCTTTCCTCTGGCGCCGCCGCCATCTTGGGGGCATCCGTCCCCCTGCGCCGGCGGGGGCTTTCCTCTGGCGCCGCCGCCATCTTGGGGGCATCCGTCCCCCTGCGCCGGCGGGGGCTTTCCTCTGGCGCCGCCGCCATCTTGGGGGCATCCATCCATCCCTCTCTCCCTGGGCTGCAGGTGGCCATCTGCTGCCCCACTCCCCTCCGTGGGCCGGGGGGGGACAGCCTGCCGCCTCACCACGGGCTGCGGGGGCATCCACCTCCTCCCCTCCTTCCTCACTGACCTTGCTGCCTGCACAGGGCTTTCTCTCGCATCCCGCTCTCCTCCCCCGCTGCAGGTTCCCCTTCTTCAACCTGTTCTCCCAGAGGGCTCCCGCCATCGCTGACGGGCTCGGCCTTGGCCAGCGGCAGGTCCCCCTCGGAGCCGGGGAAGCTTCTGGCAGCTTCTCACAGGAGCCGGCCCTGCGGCCCCCTCCCCTGCTACCAAAAAAAAAACCCACTCCACACAAACCCAATAGAAATAGTCTAAAACTGTTATTTTCACTTCTTTGTTATGTATCTTTGGTAAAAGACCCAATGGTTAAGTAACTAACTATGCAACTAGACACAATGTAAAGCAAATAAAAGCCGCTTCCAGTGAAGTAGAAAAGTATCAGAAGGAGGTAACAGCAGCAGCGTGGGATGTTTAGCAACTAAATTTCAGAAACTTTGTCACTTGTTGATATTTTGTTCAAGAAAAGAATACTAGAACAAGAAAAGCCACGTCCATGTTCCTGTAAAATTTTCCCAAGAAATTTAGAGACCTATGCAGAAAAGTAGATTAAGAAAATCCCCCAAATTACATAGGGCCCTGAGAATATCCCTCACAGTGGTGTCCATAGTTTCATATTATTGGGATTGTCATTTCAGATAGGCACAAATAAAGGGAAAAAATTCAAATAGCAAAAGGGACGGAGACCAAAAGACTGATCTTGCTTACAACAGAGACCCAGTTGTCTTCTGAAGGCTGCAGTGATAACTTTTTGGTGGAGGCAAAATTCAACCACCCCAACCTTGAACTTCACAACTAACTTCTTAGCAAGTTTAAGTTCTCAATATTTTAAACTGTGTGTTTAACATTCACTTAATTTTCTGCTAAGTTCTGTCTTGAATATTCATGCTTGATCTATTTATGGACCGAACTACCCAGAGACAAATTTTAACTCAGCGTTGTGAAGCTCTTCTTGCTTATGTGCCTTTTACACCAGGCAATGGACAAGAAGAAAATTATCCTGAAAACAGGGAACTGTAGGATCCTGCATCCCCTGAATGCCCTTACCAGAAGGCAAAAAGTCACTCTCCTTTCTTCACTTGCTTTCAGTCGTACTCCACAAAGAAACTGACCCAGATCCAGAGACAAGGTGAAGATCTCCCTCACCTCCTCCTCCCTCAGCAATACAGGACTGTCTGCTGGTGGACGTGCTCTCCTGGGATGGCTGAGAGTTCAAAGCCTCATAGCTTCTCAACACCTGAATTAATGTGTTCACCCAGAGGGCTACCATGCAAAATGTGGTTCACCTAATACCACAACCCAGGAGGTGCTTTCCAACAAAGGATGAGACCCCGTTCAGTTAGGTACCAATGCTAAGAAGAGGATGCAGATCCAAAGACTAGACGCCCAGGTAACACAAGACCTGCAGCTTCAGGGCCTCATTTCACAAGTTCTACATTAAGAACTACTAGCTGGTGGTGTTCATTTTTAGTTATAAAGCAAAATCACTTCTGTTTACATGGCTCATGTCCTAAGCAACTCAGAAATTGCCTGGTTCCTTGTGCGTTACCATGGCACTGTAGATAAGCTGAGGTGAGTCTCTATGAGAGGAGGCTGAAGAAAGTGCATTTCAGCAAAGACATTTGCCTCCGCAAACCATTTCACAAAACTTCAGTTAAATGATTTTCATTTAGATTATACTGTAAACCTTGCCCATTCACCGTGCAGACCTTTTCTCAGGGAAAGATTACTGGATGGCTGGAAGTCCTACCACATTCCTTTTCACAAGACTGATCGTTGTTCAGGACTTCAGTTTTGAAGACGAAATGTTATTTGTTGCACTTTATCATCATACTGGTTTGACCTCCTCTTTCTTACTTTTAGTACTACATAAGAGCTTTTTAAGAAACACTCATTTATTCATTTAGCATATCACTTATTTCTTCATTCATATAACAAACATTGCCTCTAAGAGAGGACTAACCCTAGGGCTTGTTTCCAATAAAAGAGTATTCTTCTTGAACTAATTTCAAATAGAACACAATCACTTGTGCATGATAAAGTACAGTGATATAAGCATGAATGATAAAGGCATTTTTTCCTATAACATACCCATGCGTTGCAAGCAATACATGATCAATGCACTGTAATGTTTATTTCTGTTTAGAGAGTGAATTTAGATTTTCAAATTATTACCAATTTATTTACAGTAAAATGGAGCTAAGTATCAAAAATCAGGCTTCATACCTAGCTTGGTGAATTGCTTCTACCCATTCGTCCCCATCAACTTCATCCTCACAACGGAGCTCCAGTGGCTTCTGCCCTTCATGGCCAAAAAGAACAGTAAAGTAATGCTGCGAATTAGAACAAGACAAAAAATGTTCAGCAACTCTTTTAAATAAAATATATAAAATAAATAAAATTAAAAATCTAACTTTTTAAACACAGTCCAAAGCATTGCCAGCCTAGGAAGATGCGTTGTAAGCTATTAAGTCATGAAACATGGATTGAAGTTGAAACTGTATCCTTAACAGATTCCCCTGTGTATTAAGGCAATAGCTTTCATGGTACTTATTTTAAGTTATTGTTCTTAAGCTCCCACATACAAGACAACATAATATAATTACCTAAACAGCTTCTACAGTTGAATACAGTAGCGTGACTGTACTGGGGTGTTTGTAGTTCTTCTTCCCTTGCATTTTTTCACCTAAAATTTTTCTTAGATGGCCGGCACAGGACACCAAATGCAGAACTGTCCCTGCTTCCTCACAAGAATGTGGACTGTGCACTGGCTCTAGCTTATTTCCTCACCTTTCCAAAACAAGGAAAGTGTCCCTTCTCATTCATCACACTCCCAAAACATTTTTGGCCTTCTTTCAAGAAGCCTCATCCATAATTGTCATTGCAACAACTTTTTTTTTTTTCACAAGAAAATGCTATTCACACAAGAAGTGTCATATTCTTTGATGGCGTTTCTTACGTGAAAGACGTTGGCCATGGTATGTTTCATAGAACACAGAAATTCAGGAAAGTTTTCATTACTTTCAGAATGCAGTAATAATAGTAATTATCTAGTGGGGAGAGGAGAACCCCCAGTCATCTACGTTAAAACCCATTTCATGAGGTTGGTCATTTACAACCTTATTTTGCATAGCTTGCATACTAACAGCCAGGTAGCAAACAGAATTCTTCCAACTTAGATGAAAATAGGTGAGAAAACTCTACCTGAACACCCACCTGTAATTTCTATAGGTGCCTTAAATGCACCAGTTAGTAAGCCAGCTGTTTCACAGCAGAGGGACCAGTGAGGGACCTGTCCATACATAAAACCATCTGGTTACTAGGTCTAATGTGATGCAGGAGCTCTTACAGCTAAACACCTCTGCACCGGATAACTCAGGTCCCTTCATTACCTAGAACTTCTCAATCCCTCTTCGACCTTCGTCCCAGTTAACAAGGAACTGAGTATAAGCACATGTGGCAGCAATTACTTTCTGGGGTCTAACAGCAAATTCCAAACTCACTCCAGTCAGCAAGTGAGGTATGTAATTTGTGTTCTCCCACGCCATTAGCCATTGTTTACAGCAGTAAGAAATGTGAAGTGATCTCAACAAACATTCTGCTTTCGTTGTCAAACCCACAGCTCAGCTGAAAAAGGCCCTCTGAGCCAAACACCATGCTGGAGATCAAGCAAATATAAAACACCTCAGAATTAAAAGCCATTTCAAGGCCGGAGGAACACAAGCATAAACAGAAACAGAACAGAAGGGATGAAATTTTACCTATGGAGAATTGGCTGCAGATATTGTCAACACTGATAATGAATTTTGCCCATACAAAAAAGAGATTATTTCAGCCATCTATTGGCCCCTTCTGAAACGTCTGGCAGCCTGCTGTGCACATACAACACACAAGTCAGCTGTGCAGTGTGCACAGAGCGGGTTCAAGACACCCCAGATACACTGGATTCACTACACTGGCTCCAGCACTGTCTGTGCACCTGTATTTGCATCAAGGTTCATGCCTGGGGATCTCACATTTACAAAACCCAGCTGCCTCTGTGCATCTGAGTACACTCACATGTTTGGTTTCTTTTTGGGTAACATGAGTATATATAATGGCATTCCGTATAGAGAAAACTATTCATTTGTGCATTATATTAATTTACTAAACATTGTTACATGTATACAAAACCCTTTTCATACAGCAGACCACAAGCACTGCAGGATTAGCAACAGACCAACAAAACAGAAACACAGCAAAATAAGAAGCAGCATTCACATTTAACAGGCTGTACAAAGAAAGTCCAGGCTCTGATCTGTTGAGTTTCAGAAACAAAACAACTCCAGAGCACAGACAAGGATCAATAAATCATTAAAAGGACAATCCTGTAATACTGTGGTTTTTCAATAGTGCATATCACTTAAACCTGAATGCCATGAATAGAAAGAAACATTTAATCAGTGATAGATCAACTCAGTGATAGATAAAAACTTTTATAACAATACAGTGCAGTTGAAAACAACCTACAGGGCAGTAAAAAGTGCAGCAAGATTACACACAAATGTGCTCTGTTTATAGACTGGAATAGTCTATTTTAAAAAGTATATTTAAAGATAAATCACACTGTTCGGAGCTGCATTTTATGTAACAAGTTATTTGTGTTTCATAAAGCTGCTACATATAAAATTAGAATAAAGAAGACACAAGTGTAGACAAGCACTGGATTTAATCCCATTGTGTAGGGATTCACATTAAAGGGAAGACACTATTACAGTCCTCCCTACTTCTTCTTCTAAAGTGAGGTAACTCAGACCTCTTTTGAGGAAGACTTGCAGTGATCTCATGTCACAGAATTTAGACTTAAAGGTGTGCAGTTACTATGCTGATAGGCATGATCTAAATGCTTAGTTAGACCACCAAAAAGCACAGATTAAAACTTTAAAAAACATCTACATCCTCCACCCCTCTCAAACACGCATATTGCATTCAAGCATCAGCATCAACTGTCACATCATTTACCCAGAAGTAGCCAACTCTAAAGTAACCAAAGTGCAAACAAAATATCATAACATGCCTCTAAAAAGAATCTCTAAGTCATCCTTGAATTCTGTTTTTTAAATAAATGTTGCTAATTTACAAAACTAATTTACTACAAGAAAATAAGATGGTACATGTGATGCATCCACCCTTCTGCATACACACTATTATGAAGTGATGACAGTAAATGTTTAAGAACCGTAGGACACATTTACATCAACTACCCTCATTGTCATTCACCACGTCCATTGGACTAGCAGGCAGGCACTCACGTTTCAAGTTAAGCTCGTGGTTCAGTTGGACAGGTTTTTTATTATTGTTTATTCTGAAAATTGTCAGGCTCATAGAAGATAAAATGAGCATTCTGTATTTTGATATAAAACAAATTCAGTGATTTCATTTTAAGGTGTCTTTTCAGTATTCAGGTATGCACAAGCAAAATGGTAACTCTTCATTTTAATAAAAACATCTTTGGCAGAGTTCTCCAAAGTAAAGCTTGGAAAAAAAGGCAGGGAAAGTGTCATATACCTTGCATAGGTATGAAAGCACTATCTTGACTGACAGTCAAGGAAAGAACAATGGGATTAAGAAGCATCAAGAATATTGTTATGTGTCACTTCTCTGACTTGTATCTAGTGCTAGAGTTTCTTCCTACAGTGAAAAGGAAAGAATAAGGAATGAGCTGACAGGGACCTCTGCTTCAGAGACAAGACTGAAACAAGATTAAGACCATGAGTGAAAGAAGTCCCGTACTGGAGTATACTGATTATTGTGCTGGGCTCCCCATTGACAGCAGTTCACACCATAACTTTGTCCTTATAAAACTGCCCAAATAATGGCTGTATTCAAAATAAGACAGCAAAAGCTCTGAAGTTGCCATGCTTTCCAAGGGGGAAAACAAGCATCGTTCTGGTAAAAAAACAAAACAAAACCAAACCCAAACCAAACAAACAAAAAAAACCCTCCCAAACCCAAAAAACCAACCCAAATGATATATGCCCTGTAACAGAAAGACTACTTCTAAGGCATACTGAGGTAGAGCTTCCACCAATACAGACACCCCTGAGACTAAATTTCCCAAGAGCAGAATGCTGATCTCCTTGTGACTGACAAGAGCTTTTGCTGTTTATGAAGTGAGAGTCACACCAACACAGGTACCGCACTCTCCAATGCCTAAGGACAGTCCCACAACTCATTCTCTTTCCTCCACCTCACATGGAAACTTCAAAGGACATCTCCTATCCTATCTCTTATCTCTCATCCCCTGATAACTTACCACTACGTCTGTTTCGTCAGTTACTCCTTTTCATCCCCTGATAGCTGCAGTAACATGAGGTGTCTTCTCCATTTGTAAATTAGTGGTGATGCTTGCAACAGTTCAGTTACTGAAACACTGAAGGACCAAGAAGAATGAGCACCCATCTTCCCATGGTGGTGCCGCTACCTGTCACAGGCAGAAAAGCTGCTACCCTAGATAATAACGCTGCTTGACAATTCCTACTGCAAGCTCCTGCCTTCAGCTCCTCATAAATTTGGTCAGCTTTGAATGTCTGGGTGGAAAAACTCATACTGGAGAAATGAAGCATGTGTCAACAGTGTTTGTTATCTTATCCTTCCATGAGCACAGCATATAAATATTTAAATTATGCTTCGAAGGACTCCAAGGTGACTACGAAATTCTGTTGTATTGTGGGCTTGTAAATTATTATAGTGCAGTAATAGCTACTTGCCTATGAACTGCTTTTCCCTAAACTTTTCTTACTAAACATAAACCAAATTTAATTCTCTTCATAATATACTACAAAAATACCATTTTTAAAGCTTAAATGTGGTGTGACCTTGTTAGATGCTATTTCCTGATCTTTCAGTGACTTATTGTACAGTCGTAGTTTAATCATTCAAGCCAGAACTTCGAGAGTAATTTAAAAAGAAAATTCTAGCTGTCAATATTGATAAGAATGAAGAGTATAAATGCAAAACAACTATGAAAAGTTAGTTTGTGTACCAAGACTGCTACCAAAAATTAAAAGCCTTAACAAGAGTCTGTCTTCAATGTGAGGCATGAGGAAGCTTAATCATTTGCTGCATCTTTAAGGCTTATATTCACTACCTAATGTTTGTAATGGCATGTTAAAAAAACTCTGAGGCGAAAAAAGGTGGGAGAGGCAATTAATTAAAACTTAAGATAACAAGCTAAAAATATTTCTCGTTCTTGACTTCTAAAGACATTTTCATTTCAGAATCTGGAAATCTGTATGCAGTCTCAAGCACCAGTACATTATTGGGCAGAAGAGGACAATCACTGTAGCAACTG